GTCCAAGTTCGGAGACCCCGGCCACACATATAAACCATACGGCTCCAATTTAGGAGTCCCAGGCAGGTAGTGGTTAAAGTCTTTCCTCACTCCCAAATTGATTGCTTTTACATCTTCATGTCATTCAACTGCCATTCTTGCATTAAAATGTTTAATTCAAAATTTAGACCATCAAAGTCAAGATGAATTTAGTTACACTGTTCCATAAATGCAGCACTAACTGTTGCAGTACATCATGTTCCACTGCACAAGTGGATGTATGCATATTTGTGTTTCCCCAGACACATGCTAACACACAGCGACCACCATAGGGCACCATTACAGATGTTCAATTGTCCACTTGGCTTTAAAATGACTGATATCACACACATGTAAATGCCTTGAGTTTGTATTCAGTCTACAAAACTTTCATCAAGTGCTGTTGAAACGCATTCTGCATGACTATAAACATTGGATATAGTAAATGTTACTTCTAGCTCGTCACAGATATCATGCAAGTAATAGATGTTTTCACTGGCTGAACAAAAACTATGGATTCAAAAAACTTTTTAGTTTCAAGGTTCAACATAGTTTGCTTTGTCTGCCTATGAAGGGGTGGATTACTGAATTCTGCTTTCAAAACTTCTGGCTTTAGATAGAGAACTGCTATCCCTGGTGGTACTACAACCATTACAGATACATCAAATTAAAGTGATATAAATTACTGTTGTGTAAACTGAATAAAGGTTGCCACTAGATATTTGAAAAGAAAAACATTTATCTTTTTAACTTTCACACTAATGCACCGAGAAAGGATTTGAACCTGCAACCTTCAACATACCACAGTGAACCTCTATTAACAGTGACTCAACTCAAATGCAGTCTTTTGAGTGTGCACCTTTTCTGTGAAGACAAAAAATGGTGAAGGGAATGTCTGGTCAAACTTGCTGAAGTTAACAGATGATTTGTGGATGAGGGCTGCCTTGTTCTCTGTAGTCAGTAACTTGCGCTTCTCTTTATGGTAGCAAATGTTTGGAGACAGGCCCATGGCCAGAAGGCTGACAACCACCTCTAGCTTTATGTCTGGTCCCCCAAAGTTGAAGTACTCTGGCTCCAGGCATTCTACATATTATAAATTGGAATTTTAAAGAACATCAGATAATAGGACACATCTGTATACACACAGTCACCAAAAAAAAAAAATAATAATACAAATCAGATACTTGGAACAAAGTAAACTAATACCAGGTTATCTTTGATTGTGTAACTTTTGACATTCCACTGCAGTCAGAGACAAGCATGATGTGAACGTTTTACTCATCTGTTTGGCCCTTACACTAATATATATTCATAACACTGTATGCTCACTGTTTACCCAAGAGCTTATGGAAAAATTCATTAGCTTACTCACTACTACATTCTCTAGGACTGGCTGGTCAACCCCAGCAAGCTCAGGGGTTGAATGGTTAAGATGTCTCCACGAGTTGGTGAGTACCGCCTAAGTAAGCTTGTGAACTGTGAAGCTCTCGGATAAACACTGAACATGAATGAATATGAATTATGAATATGTCAGTGTAAGGGCAAACCTATTGTTAAAGAATTAATGTCTCACAAATACAAAGCATAACTCGAAATAGTTAGCAAAGCCCGCTGCTACATGTGACTCAGACTGGCCAGCAGACCTCGGCAAACTCGATGGTCAAGTATAAGCAGGAGGTCATGGGTTTGAGTCCAAACAACACTGAGCATACAGTATTATGAATATATTTCAGTGAAACACATAACCGGTAATTAAAATCAACATATCCCAATGCAAAGCACATCTTGAAAGAATAATGTGCTATCAAACACATTTCCTGCCATGCCAATGCCTATTAAACAAAAACCTTTCATTTGTGCTTGCAAGATTTCTATTGAGTTAGCTATTTTGTTATTGACCCTTGACTTTTCTGCCCCAAATACAATAGGCTTCTGAGGATTACCAAGAGCAATTCACAAAACAAATCTGATGTTCATACATACAGTATTTCTTCAAAGCAGTGTATAGGATTTCCATATACTGCAGTTTGTCAAAATTTGACAATTTAGGGGTTTGTGATTTACTTTGTATATCATGCCAGAGACTTGTTTCATTTTTTTTTTTGGTTCACTGCTTTGAGAAAAAGGCCACTCATTTTAAAACTCAGCGCAGCTCGTGTCATTTGTCTCGCAAAAATCCATGGGGCACAGGACAATCTTAAGTGCCTGTACAATACACAGGCGAGTCAATATGCAGATGGATTATGGCCTTCAAAAATGCATTTTTCCATGACTTCGTGTAGTACTAGTGGTTGGCAAATTTACCTTCACGTTTATGATTCCTGAACAATGCAATGGGGAGAATTTGTCTAATAAACGTTGTTTTATAGGGCAGTGAAATGACTGCAATCCCCACAGTCACTGCGCCACCACATGTACACGTGTACTATCGACCACAAAGTAAGTTCTTCACATGTGTGTTGGTCATAAACTCTACACACACCATAATTGCCCATCATGAACACTTTACAAATAAACAAATATGGCAACTATCCAAGCATTTACAGTTACTGTTATTGGAAAAACAAAGCTAAATGTCTTGAAATTGGAGATTTTGTTTGAAAAAACTGGGCTACGATACAGAGCTCTAAAGGAACGGCCATTGAACCACACTATTATCTTCAGGGGTGATAGTAAGATGACATATTCAAATGAGGTAAACTTCCAAAGCTTCGTAAAGAAACATAAATTTCAAACCCATCCAAATTCTCCTTTAGACGTTATGATTATATTTTATTAGTTGATAATGAGTTAAGGCTTACTGAAGGCATGTTAGCAGTATGTACATAACCCATTAACCCCTTCATGCCAGGATGTTTTTACCGCAGCTACCTATTTTTCCAATAAACCACAGACGCCTAGATTGGCCATCAAGCCTATCTGCCAAGTTTGCTGGGTCACACACTGCACACAGCCTGGCTCTGTGTACTCATGAACCTTGCTGGGGTATTTAGATCCTGTTCAACAAAATACCAGGTACCCAGCACTTGCCTTGCCCACGCGCCAACGCCAACTACCCAAGGACGCTCGGTCACAGCGGGGAGTGCAGCGCCTGCTAAGTTCACATAGTCTATGCTTGCTTCCCAGTAGTCCATGTATGCCCAGCATCAATGCCCAGCCCCAACTTGTACATTGAACGCACTTCACAAGTTTATATTTCAGCTAATACCCAGTGAAGATTTCCTGTAAAATTCCCCTAATGTTTTTGTTTTGCGCAAAGTTTGCTCATAATTTTCTTGCACATTTCTAAGTTGTTTTTTTTTTGCAAGTTCTATTCAAATCCTCTTTCGGTATGTAATGATACATATTAACAGCCCCTTCTAAGTAAAGTTTGAATCATCTCCTGAAAACTATCTTTCCAAACTAATCCTCCCCATAATTATAAAATAAACAGACATAAGAAAAACACACAAGACAAAGTTTTCTCACTTCTCTTCTTCTCTTGACGACTTATCATTTTATTTTCTCTCTTCTCATACTTACAATCACTTATGTTTCTTCAACAGTTTATTAAAAAAAGGAACCTTCCAGTAAAAAACTTAGCCCAAAAAAAGATTAATTGCATTACACGAAGTCTTCAAATTAGAGGAAACTGTTGTAAAAAAATTAGCCAAAAAAAGGAAAGAAAACGGAGAGTAGTTGCATTACACGATGTCTTGACACAGGAGAAAATTCTTGTACAAAATTGTACATGAATAAGTAATTGATTCAAATATAATAAACCTTGAAGGACTTGCCTAAAAATTCATGCACTATTTCTTGGAATACAAGAAACTTTACATAAATAACCAATTAATTCAAGTGTGATCAACCTTGAAACAAGGAACAGCGCAAAGTGGCACTTCACATATTTAACACATCACTTTAGTCTCTTTTCTTTTGCCATTTCTAGAACAAACATCACACCATTTGTATAATCTAGCTGGTTTCCAGTTGGGGAATTTCTACAGCAAAATGTCTTCCTATCAGTCTACCTGGACCAGGAAGACGGGTTGGTCTACCTCTAGATCGATACACTGGCAAATTTGGTAAACGCAACTCTGAAATTTCACTCACCAACATGTGTCTAAATGTCAAAAACTGTCAGTGCCACCAATTTCCTTATACTCAAGATAAGAGTTTACAAGAGCAACATCAAGCAAAACAAAGAACAGTTTTTTATACCATTTGATTGATTTTCTGACTGAACGGTGTGACAATGCCAGCTGGTCTGCAATGTCCACACCCTTCACCCCCTCGTTGTCGTCTAGTACACACTTGGGTTTCTCCAAAGCGATGCTATCATGGTTCCAGTTGCCGGTGTCAGCCATCTCAGCTGTGTGCATCGTGGACAGCATACGGACATCTTTTTTGTCTCTCCAGACTAATAACACGTTGTACTGCTTGAACTTCAGTCTCCCTTTGAATTTCCAAAGGGTCTTGTCGATAGTAATCTTGCTGGACAGAATGTAGACGGACTTGAACTTCTCGGTCAGTTTGTCTACCACCGGGCGGAGCTTGTAGAGTCGATCAGTCACATCTGCATGGCTGTTATCGACGAAATGCAGATAGGCCAGCAAGTCCATAAATCTGTCGCGGGGCATGGTATCAGGAAAAACAGAGTCTGAAGTATTGAGTCTCTCGTCCAGTAGGACTTCAAGTCGGGTTTCAAAATCAGTCCCATAACTATCATCATGGACAGGAACACAGACATCTCGTCTGGTGTTGTGTCGAACCAGCTTTGCATGTGACTTGGACTTGCTTCTGGTTGACTTTTCGGGTGTTCATCAGCGGCATGATGATTGGTCTCATTGGAAATGTGCAATGTCAGCTCTGGGGTGAAAAACTGCTCGAAGATTTCGAGAGGAGTGCTGTTCTTGTCCAGTTCTTGTACTTGAACACCCGCTGCGCCTTGAAAGCTGTGTCTGCAGGGGAAGTTGTCATCAGCCGTCCATTGAATGGACAAAGTCTTGACCTTCTTGGCAGGCCTCGCTAACGGTGGTTGCCCGTTAAAAATTGCTGTCACTAGTTTCATTTTCTGAACTATGTTCAGATTCAGAAATGAAATCTGAACCACTAGTCTAGATCAAAGTTTCCTTGTCACTGGAAGACATTGTGTAATGCAACTGAAGGGCCGGGAAGCAGCTAAGCAAATATAACCCAGCGCTACAGAAAACGCTGCTTTTCGACGAAACAAATAACTAATTACACTGAACAATGGCCCATCTATACCCCGAGTGCGTAGTGCTGGTGTGCTGCCCACATGTTCCCAGCCCAGGAGGGCCGTAAACAATGGCGCGCACACCATGTCAATATCCTGTATTCATCACACTCTGAGCCCACACAAAACGTGTTGTATAAGCCCTGTCCACGGCCTCGAGCTCCGGTCCACAGAGATTACCCACGGTATTCAATCAAAGACAAAGGGGTGTTTTGATGAAAAAAAAAAACATTTACCAAGTATCAGGGGATCAACGAACTCTCTAGGTTGCCCCAGATTTCCATTCAGTGCAAAGGTCCCAGTAATTACAGGTGTACACTGAATAAAAGTTGCATGTGTGGTTTGCCGCCAGAGACGTCTCCCAGTTAGTAGACTTTTCTCCAGGCGCGGCTCTTGCCGCTTCCCAGCATGAAAAGGTTAATACAGACTCTTCCAACAGCTCAATGCTTCACACAGGTTTTCATTCCACCCATTAACAGTTGCAGTATTTGAACAAATTGTATTTTCCAAAGATTGTCTGTCTGGACGATCTTTGGCAAAAACACAAAATTTCTCTTTTCTCAACAATGACAGCATTCCTGATGGTCATATTTCACAGATTGTCAGACACTGTTATGAACTTACTTTACAGTGAGATATTTCAACCTAATCTGACAGTCCATTTTTGAGATCTTGCAAATCAAGAACATTCCATACACACCCACATACACCCACACTCACCATAGTTGTGCGGACACACACTCATCTTTTCACACTTTATGTGGACCGAAAATGCCCTGGGGACAAAAACTGGGAACATACAAGGACAAAGCCAAAACTAGCACAATAAAACATAACACTGCATCAAGCGGAAACCTGATAGTGAGTTTCACTGCATTTTGTTTACACGCTACCAAGCCCTAAAAATGAACAGTTAAGTCAGAGAAAGTTACTCACGTTCTGGAAATCCTTCCATTACTAGGATATCCTTTAGTTGATTCTGGATATAAAAAAGGTGGACAAAATATCAAGAAAGGTTACTTTGGCCAATGGGAGAAAAATTAGCATAAATATGGCCTCTTCTTGGTTGCTGTTTCATCTAAATATTTTGTCTTCAAGTCTAAAACCCTCTTGACTTTGGAACAGGGGGACAAGGTTGATCAAAAGGTGTACACGTATATTGCCAGCAATGTTAGTCAACTCATACTTCAGTTTACAGCTGTTATGTGCATGAATAAAACTCATTTTATGACAAGAGCCCAAAGGACAAGGTAGTGTGGCATTTTATTCCCACGAGCCAGCCTAAGTCTTGTGAGTCTGGGCAAACTGTTTCCAACTGTGGGGAATGTAACCTGACCTAAATCTAAACTATCTGCCTTGGCCCTTGAGTTTGATGAGTAATCTAAGGTCTAGGGGTTAGGGGTCATTTTGGCGAAAATATACCATCAATCGGTAATTGATTTGGTGACCTGGTCGACTGATACAACAATGAGCATGTGCGTAAACAAGACATTACCGGCAAGAGCAACAGGACTTATTTAATAAACTTTTCTTTAGCTTATATAATCCCGGTATTTACACAATTAGAGTTATTTATTTTATACAAGAGTTACAAAAGAATAATACGAACTATAAATACAAAAGAACACTTAAATAATCTGTACTCCGCAATCCGCAAAGTGCCACCAATAATCCACAATCCACACTCTGCAAAGATGCCGCCAACAATCTGCAATCTGCACTCGGGTGACTGCACCCAAGATATCGGCGGACTACCGGTGCTAATTAACTATAAAACTAAACTAACGGGTAACTCAGGGCGTCTGCTGCCACTCTGACTGTCCAATCTTTCACCGCTTTTCTAGACGGTGACTTTCAGACAACCTCGACAATTCTGCCCACAACTCTACCCACACAGTATTGTTCTACCCACAGTCCTTTCTGACCGTATACTAAGAACAGTACACAATGGGTCAACTACTGCTGATATGTTACGGTTATTTACTAAGTGCTTAGATTGTGGAACCAGTACTTGAATTGCTAGCAGACTCTCAGCAGTAGCACACACAAAACAGTGCTGTTCAATCACTGAACAAGGCCTCCAGACTGCCTTGAGACTTCTGCGAAACTGCCTACACCGCGTGTGGCATGGCACAAACTAGACAAAACATAAACTTGCACCAGTCCCGCGCTGCCTTAAACATGTACATTTACAAGGGAAATTACACACAGATTAATGCTAATGTACATTCGTGCGTTCTCTGCACCTATACAAAGATAAGAATGATGTCATTTTTTAACTAAAACCTAAACTTGTTGCAGCCATTTCATCACAGTAGTTTGTAAAGAGCAAATTCAGGAAATTGCAGTTGTTACAGTACATTTATGCTGTTCGATGGCTTTTTGAGGATTCTTCATTGGCAGGTATGCATCACTTGCTGTTATTTTAAAAAGATGGAAATTATATAAAAAACAAACAACAAAACTGCAACTTAGAATAGATTATATAGTTTCACAAACTCAGTATTTAACACTTCAAAAGTGGTACAAACCCTAGAAAGAGTTGTATTGAAAATGTGTTGAATTTCATGAGGTGAAAGAGTGTATCACATACAGCTCTAGGCATATCTCAATAGATCTAATTTACATAAACACATTTTAAGATGTCACTCATAAGTTTCAGAATAGTGTTTTAGAGCGTGAAGTTACGGTCGGACATCAGACATTTTCCGAGTACTTATTGTGTTCATCTGAACAAAATCAAAGATACTTGGGCAAAGTGTTCAACCAACATATCAGTAACAGCTCTTAAAATATCAACACAATATATGGTATTAGGACGTCCGATTTATTATTAGTAATAAATGCCAAAGGCATTCATCAGGGCTGATCGCTCATCACTGGCCCATGTCACCCAGTGCCATGCGTGTATGAACACACACATGTATACTAGCACAGACATGAAATCGCCCCATAATTTTTTGCACATCATAAGATGTAGGTCATACTGTCATCAACCAATGTTCAATTTTCTGTGGAAACCCATGCATGACACATAACCTGGGTACCAGGAAATATGGATTAGTAATGGTTGGCTGCATTTGCGTGGTTCCTCCAGTTCAACCCGAGTGTGGTGCATATGCATTATATTTCTGTATGTACGATGGCAACATACCCTAGTTGACCTGCGGGTCTTACTCCAGCCAAACGTGAGTAGCTCACTCCAACATGGCCCTTAGTCATGGCTCAAACATGCCCCAAGTTAGATTGTTTCCCAGTCCCCATAGTCTGAACAAAAATAATAATGGGGTAAGGAATCCCAACTCTACCTCTTATATAATATGGCAGATCAAAAGCTGGTAAGTGCAGAACAAAATTGACTGTGTTAGGACATTTTGTCCAAACAATTTTTTTGGTTAAATTTCACACTCTGGTGTTTGTCTGCTTGTGGAGTGGTAGTGTTCCTGTTCTGCAAAAATTTCATTTGAAACTAGAGTTTGCATCTGTGTTTGTGTGTCTTACAAAGAACGCAAGGCTTTTGCTTTTTATAAGTGTTTTAAAACTCACTGGGTTTGCAGTAAGAAAAAACGTACATTTAAAATGTCAATACCAGTCAGTTACTGATTTAAAAATCCACATTAAATTGCTTGATGATGTCATCATAATATTATTACTTGATGATGTCATCACAATATAAATTTGATGGACACTTTTCATCTTGAAGGAATTTATATCTATGAAGTTTAAATTAATTGCAATAAAATTAAAAGTAGAAGGAAATACATCATAAAGAAATAATACAAAATCAATCGATGTCAAAACATTAGTTTGCATTTGCAATGCAGAATATATACATCATCTTCCCACCAAGTTTCAACACAATCACATTATCTCCAATATTCCAATTTGGAAGTCTATACATATACTGTTTTCTCAACCGGGGCCTCAAATAGGCGATTAAATAACCAGGGGGTTGACATTCACCAGTTCTTGTATTTGAGATCTACAACAGATTGCACACTTTTGAACCAGATGAACAATGAAATGCCATGTCCTGCTTGTTATCTCCCTCTCAGTGGCCCACGTCTGCAGACTGAGTAACACTGCAGGCCCATGTGTATTGATCATGTCCAGCCTTATTGCACACATGTACACCGACCAAAGCATGTACATGTATATTTGTCAAACACGTCCAACCAAGAGTGTAGTATTATGAGAATTCCACCGCAACATTCTAGATATTACTACAACGTGGAGACGTAAATCCTAACCCTGGACCAACTACACACAATTCGATCTACCAGAATTCCAACCAACATGTACATACAATCGCTTAAGAGCAAAATGTGTCAGGCTGATAGTACCTCCTCCCATTTGGAATATCATTAAGGAACTGGAAATAAACACTAAACCTGCAACTTGTTGTGGAAACTGTGGTGAAACCAAAAGGCCACGGAACATGGTCAATGCCTGCCAACTACCCAGATTTGCTGGTAGCGAGATTCCTGTAATTATTTGCCTATGCCTGCCCGCAATGTCTCGCCTCGAGGCAGCAATTGATACGAGGCTGCAATCAATTGGCCTGAAGAAGCTGAAGCTGACAACTGTACAAAAATGGTACTAAAGCTTAATACTTGCTTACCTTGCTCCTGTTAAATTCGAGATCAATACTCAACAAATTGGATGAAATGACTACTGTAGCCTATACCAACAATGCAGATACCATAGCTGTAACACAAACTTGCTTCCATCCAGATACACCTCTCAAACAGTTCAGCATTCCTCGTTTCTCTCTTTTCTTCAAAGCCAAAAGTGACCGTTTAGGCGGGGAGTTGCATTTTATTTAAAATCCAGGAGACTGCCATTATAAGTACCTGATGATATTGAGGCACTGTGGCACGGACGTATATAAAAAAAAACTGGACTTGCAACGCCTTTGTATGAAAAAGAAGCCAACCAGCGTCCATTTTACCGAGCCGAATACAAAACCGTGGGTTGGCTCCCTTCTATTGACGTCAGGAAGAACAAAGGCTGGCATTGCCAGGAAAGCTTTGTATTCGGCTCGGTAAAATGGCCGCGAGTGGATTCAATGACTCTATAAACTGATTAAGGGCATTGCGAGTCCAGATTTTATTATACACGTCCATGCACTGTGGATGCACATGAGACCGCCTAGATTACCATGCCAGGGGTCCTCTCTCGTCATCTGTGTGGTCTACTTTCCACCGAGGAACCCCAATGCTCAAGACTATATTGATCATATGACCTCAAGTATCAACTCACTTGTTCAGCAGTATCCTGGATCCGGAATTTCCATCATCGGAGATCTCAATGACTTGGATATTCAACAAGTTCTTTACGACAAATCTTTCACTCAAGTTGTTTCTCAACTGACCAGAGGCTCCAACATCCTCGACAAGATCTTCACCAATTACAATCAGTTCTATTACCAAACTCAAACTTTATGCCCAATAGATAGAAGAGACCATGCTTGTGTCCCCTAGACACCTAAAGGTCACATTGTAAGAACTAATAAAACAAGGAAAATGACTGTCCATTCAACAACAGATAGTGACCGCAGGTCGTTTGGTGCATAGATTAGCAACCACACTTGGGAAGAAAATTACCACATAATTGACCCATCGCAATAGCGTGAACTACTCTGCAAGACAATCCAAGAACATTTACATTTAAACTTGCCCACTCACGTTATTTGCTTCCACCCGACTGACAAGCCTTAGATCTCAGCTGAGATTAAGGAAATCATCGCACAAAGACAAAAGGCATGGCATCAAGGAAACAGGACTTTACGGCATCATCTGTAGAACAGGGTAAAACATGCTATTTTGTCAGCTGAAAGAAATTACTATCACAGTAAGATTCATCGCTTGAAAATGGATAATCCTGCCGGCTGGCACAAACGGATAAAGTTTCTTAGCCAAGGCAGGTGTGACCAGTTAGCTCTTGATGTCCCAGAGATTGATTGCAATGACCCAAGAG